CCCACGTGTGCATCAGAACACATTCAAAATTCACACTCAAATTATCAAAATAACCTTGCCCTAGCTAGCTGGCATAACATGTCCTGGAACATGTCACAACATCATGTAGAACATGATGTCTGACTAACATGGGAGAACATCTGGTTCAACATCATGCTAACAGCATGTTGTTTTACCAAAATGCAGTCAATCCAAAAACCACAGGACTTACACATGACATCTTCCTCTATTCGTGCCTCTTCCTCTTCCTCGTAAATTTCTTCCTCTGCCTTTTCCTCTTCCAAATCATCCACCTCTAGAAGACTCGCCTCTATTTTGTATTGGGGGCTTATTTTCACCATTGTTGAGTTTAGATTGAAAGACACTCTCAACTAATTTTTCAGAGCGTCGTAACAACCTTTGCTCATATGATCTCAAAGACCACATCAACCCTTGAACAAACATAGTTGATAGGTCATTAGTTTCTTCTATAACAGTCACCATAAGATCACATTTTTCTGCCAAACTAATCATAATTTTATCAATAATTTTGCAATCATCTATTATATCTCTATGTGACTTCATTTGATTCACCAATTCAAATAGTCTTTTAAAGTATTCATTCCAACTCTCATTCTCTTTCATTTTTTTCATTTTCATAGTCTCTCTTAAAAGATTGAAGTTTCACAGTTCTCACCTTCGAGTCTCCTTCAAACTCTTGTTATAGAATATTTCATGCTTCCTTTGATGTTTTTTCTCTCATAATCCTTGGGAAAATGGACTCCTATTTGAATCATCCTGAGAACTCCAACATTTGTGATCTTCTTCTTCTTCAATTCTTCAAGTCGTTGGCTTAATTCTTCAGTCTTTTCATTTGATTCTTCAGCCTCTGCTGGTGCTAGTTCTTTATATCCTTTTTGGAGGAACTGCAAGACATCTAAAGAGGTGAATAAAGTCTCCATTTTAACAGCTCAAAAATCATAAGTTTCTCCTTCAAACAAAGGAACTTTAACATTGCTATAAACTGCGGAAGAGTTGCTTGTGGAAGCCATATTTTTTATTTTTTTTGCTGCAGCTGTAAGGATTTACAGCTCTAATACCACATTGTTGGTGAAATTATAGAGGTGGCATGTGATAAATTATATTGTTGCAGAATTTAGAGTAAGAAAATACTTTTGGGGCTGAATATTCTTGTATTTCTCTTATGAAAATGCATCTCATACTCAAAATATATATAGCATGAGTAGTGATGGTTACAACTATCAAAGAGTCACCACTACTAGGTGTTTAATTCATAATTAATCACTCCATTAAGCACTAAGTGCTTCCACTAACAACAATGACAATTTACTCATGTAACTCTTCACTTACACTAGATAATTTCTAATATCTTAACATATTCAACTAACATGAAATCAGCACATTAATTAACAATAGTGAATTTCTCACCATTTTAAGTGATTGTTATCCATTAAGAGGATTTATGGTTTTTGTATTAATCTTCATTTATGACATCCTAACTCACTCTCAAACTCCACAAGATAACGTAGAGCATCTTAGGATTCTACGTTCAGATCTGCGAGAAAAAGAAAGATTTTTTCCAAGTTTAGGAAGTTTGAGTTTTGGATGTCGGAGGTGAAATTCCTTGGGCATGTAATATCTTAAGGAGTGGTGGAAGTCAGTCCCTCGAAGGTAAAAGCAGTATTTAATTGGGAGAGACCTAAAAATGTCTCCGAAGTGATGAGTTTCTTGGAACTTACAGGTTATTCATAAAGATTCATCATGAGATTTTCCCAATTAGGCCTACCACTGACTTGACTCACTCGTAAGGAGACTCGATTCTAGTGGGATGCAAAATGTGAGAGGAGATTTCAAAAGTTGAAGAAGAAGTTGACCACTGCTTCAATCTTGATTATTCGAGATCGTAAGCAGAAGTATGAAGTTTTTGTGATGCCTCAAAAAAGTTTTTGTGATGCCTCAGAGAATGGTTTAGGGTGTGTCTTTATGCAAAATGGTCAGGTGGTCACCTATGCATCTTGATAGTTGAAGACACATGAAGAGAATTACCCAACTCATGATCTAAATTTAGTTGCAATTGTCTTTGCACTCAAGTTGTGGAGGCATTACATATATGGAGTAAATTTTCAATGACTATAAAAGCATGAAGTACTTGTTTAATTAGAAGGAGCTAAATATGTGTCAAAGAAGGTGGGTGTACTTTATGAAAGACTTTAATTTTGAATTAAAATACCACCCTATGAAGACTAATAAGATGGCGGATGCATTAAATAGAAATGAGATGCATACGGCAGAGCTAATGATGCTAGAGTAAAACTTGATAGAGAAATTTCGACACCTCGACCTACATTTCACATGGACTCGGGAAGGAGTCTTGATAATCTAGATGAATATCCTATGTGACCTTAGAGAGATAGTAAGACAAACAAGCAACTAATTTGGGAATTATAGTATTTTAAAGCGAAGAAATTAGTGGCCAAGAAAAGAAATGGTAGCAATTTTGAAGGATTTCAAAACAAAGCAACTTGCGAGACAAGTATGATAACTCGTGTAGCAGGTTAATTATATAAATTCAAAAAATTTACTAGAGCATATTCGCGAGACGAGAAAGGTGGCTCGTCTAACGAATTATGAGTTGGAAAATACTTCACCTTGAAGAAAGCTTGTTGCAAGGTGATCACATATTTTGCTTAGAGAAATGTCAATTATCTCAACTCTATAAATAGAGCGTGTAGATCATGAGTTGGGATATATTACATTGGAGGAAAGAGGTAAATTACATAGAAAGAGAATAAGCATTAGAGGCTTATAAAGGTGGAGCTCATCTACATTGAATTTTCTATTCATTGAATGCAACTCCACTTTTTCTTCATCTTTATTCATAATAATAATCATTCAGATCACTTGAGGATGTTCATGATCATCTTAAACTTCAGAATGTCTTCATCATTAAAACTTTCTCATGTCTTTAAAAACATGTTTGTCTAAGCATGAACATTGTTGGAAAAGTATATGAACAATTACTACGTATTTCCAAACATATTTTCTCTAATGATATCATGAGAATATTCTTTTGATTTGTAATAAAATATTGTTCTTTTGAGGATTAACTTTGTAAATGTCATACTGTCAAAAAAAATGTGATTGGATCTTATTCAATCTTATAAAATCGGTTGGTAGGATGAGGATTATTATTCGATGTGGAACTCTTAACACACTTTGTCATACTTAGAATTAGACAACTGGAACGTAAAAATAAGTTATAAATGGTCCAATAGCAGAAATCATAATAGATAGTCAACTAATTCTTAAATCTGACTTACATTCACTTGTAATAATGATCATATACACGAGGTTATGTCATGTCATTGACTCATCATAATCACTCTAAACTCTTAAAATCATTTTCTTCACAAGATATGCATCAAATTCAAAAACACGCTAGACATAGTAGATAAGAAAATATGTGGACATGCATTAGGGAATCTCAACTATAGAGTATTCAAAAATTTATATTATCCGTAAGTAGTCTATGGATCTTATATTAGGCTTTGATATCATGTTAAAAATGTGATTAGGTTTAACTCAAACCTACAAAATTAATTAATAGGATGGAGATTGCTCTCACTTATAAACACATGTTCAAATCATATATTATCTTACGTGAGACTCTTAACAAATACACCTATTTAAATTTTTCATAAATATTTTATTTTATTTTTTAATTATCCGTGTGAATACTTATTTAATGTAATGAACATTTTCTTCATGAGAATGTTCTAATATTTTGTTGGACAATCATTCTCAAAATATTTTGTTGATACAATACTTATCATGAATCCTCTTGGTGCTTGAACACATTCTAGTATATCTTTGAAGAACCTAATACAAAACTCAATCTTATTTTTGTTACATAACTTCAAGCACAATCTTATGTAGCTTGCTATGCAAGTTTTTTCTACCATAATTTTTCAAACTAGTAACCTCATTCTTTCTTGAACCTTCAATACTTGTTAAGAGCCTTGTTGTGATGAGAAGTACTTTATTAATCATGAAGCTCATTTTCTTGCTTGATCATTCAATTAATCCTTTTATGATTCAAACATCGGTCTTATAATATATTCATGAAGTTTGTGATGCTACTCTTGTAAATGATTCTACACCGATTTTTTTTAATTGTTGAGTAGATATAATGCACTTATTGATGAGAAAATTTCTAGCTTCCACTTGTGTGATTCTAGTTCTTTCAACAAAAAAAATCAAGCTCAAATATTATTGTTAGCACGTCGTTGAAAAAAACCAAACTCAAACGTTATTATTAGCATGTAAGGACCTATTGTAGAGCTTTGCTCAACATCATAAATCACTACAATACAAACATATCATTGTCACTTAATTTCCGTTGTGTATGTTCCTCATACACATGTTCATGTCCCTAAAGTCATTATAGGTTTTCCTTTGATGTCTTCTCCATCATCTTTGTAAAGGTACATCTTTCCTCTTGGTATTATACTTTCTAGCAGTCTCTACACGAACGGGTGAGAGCCTCTATATGATTCATGTTAATATAGGAGATTGGTTAGAAAATTGAATTATCTCATAGTCACTTGACCATACATTTCCTCTCTAGTTACTGTGATATGGATGTTCTTAAAAAATAGCTTGAAAACGATTATTACTTGAAAGACGCCCATGATGTGAACAACATAAATTCAGCCACTATATAAACTTTTGCTACCTTAGAAGTGTAGCCTGTAAAAGAATTCAGCTACAGAGTCGAGCTCAAGTGTTGAGCTACACAGTTGACTTTGACCATCCATAGAAAGCTTATCATTGCTCTCTATTGGTAAAATTCCTAAAGCATAATAATATATGTAACAGAATGTAAATGTTCAAGTAGATTCATTGTTCATCCATGACACTTTTAACAACACCCCAAGTTGGTAAAATCCTATATAAGAATAACAAACTCCATAATAATTAAGCAGAAGTCAGTAACCTCGTTACTGATCTGGTGTATCTTGAACAATTTGATCATTTTCACTTGCTTCATTTGTGCGACTCTTTGCCGCCCAAGCATTGTTTTCCTTGCTGTATATTGCATCCTTGGGAGTATCCTTTACATATGTCGATAATGGACCGCTCTCTTTTAGATTGGTGATAGGTGAAGATGTCTTGAGTAAAATTGGATTTCTTTGATCATGATTAGCATCAGCAATTTCGTATTCGGATACAAGATCCATGAATTCGTTCAGCAGTCTCTGGACTTTCCTATTTGATGCCATGGCTGGAAGAATGTCTTCGATAAGGAGCTTGTGTTTCCTCATTCCCTGTAAACATCCAAATCGGAAACTTGATCAGTCGATGAGCTCAGCATGTGATGGTTTGGTATTTAAAGCAATTGTTATCAAATCGTTATTTTCCAAATCACGGTACTACGAATTGTAAGATACATTACCAATAAAAAACTTATTTTACATTAAAAAAAAATAACATAACAAATCATCAATTGGACGTAATTAACAATTTTAAACATCAATAATCACAATTTTCAAGTGTATATTTGAACATAAATTATGCAATTAATAGATATCATGTAACTAACCATATATTGAACATGATTAATGGATATAACTTATATTTGAATACCTAAAATAATGTATATTTGAACACAGTTTTTATGGTTAATGGGTAGTGTATATTTTTTAACACAATTAGGATGGTTAATAACCGTAGTTAATTACATTTAGATGTTTATTGACAATCTAAATTATTGTTGACATTTGTTGTCAATCTTGAGACAAAATATCAATTATTGATCATCTAAATAATCAGCCAATGGATCTTTCTACATTGCTATAATATATATTCATAAACCATTTCAGCTGTAATCCACAGCTTATGCAGGAAAAAGTTTAGCTCTAATGCTGCGCAATTCCACCATTCTTAGGTTGGCTTATTTTAAGCAGAAAATAAGATATGAATTTATTATGCGTATGGATAAAAAATAGTCTTACAAGCACCACAGGATCCCATGCCAAATTCTTATCCGACGATGCTCCTTCAGTCATGCCTGTTGGAGGTCCAAGGAAACTCTCACAGACTTCTCGTAATCGAGATTCATCCGCTTCTCTGCAATTATTTCATTATGATCTTTGTTTAGCTTGCTAATAGTCCAAAACCATACAGACCACAGAATGTGATTCAATAGTTACAAAATAAATATATGCAACTACATTTATATCTAGCTAACTACAATCCCTCTTGAGTTTGAACAATCGCACCCTTCTCAATAAATAAATTCTTGAAGATTAATGACAAGGAGTTGAGCACCATCCCTCTCACAAGAGGTTATCATGATATTTAAATAATTTAATACTCATAAAAGATCAGTGTTGATGGCGGAGAGCCAAAATCCCGCTATATCAGCTGCTTTGTGGTGCCATTATAGCGGATTATGGCGCCGATATTTACCATTGCGGCAAGCCCAAAAACTGCCATTTATATTACTGCCATAGCGGCCATGGCACCGCTATTTGATAACACTGTAATAGATAAAAGACAAAAGAAATAATACCTTGCAAGAAAGCGTACATACGACAATAGGCATTGGCGATATTCATTGGGGGATCCCAAAGCCAAAGAAGAAGCCAACTGAGCTTCCAAATGAGCACGTGTCTGCACTCCATCATCAGTCATTCTACATCAAAAAGTGTTCAGTTTAAAAAGATTCAGACATCAATACTACCATTATCAAGTCTAGAAGAACAAATAACAATTGTGAGATTAGCACTGGAGGAGAAGAATGTTTTGTCTTTCTACTAAAAAATATGAACAACAAAAGCCTTTTCTACAAAAATGATCTATCCTAAATCATAACTAGAGATAGACCACTTAATGAAACATTTCTAAGAATGAAACTAAAGCAAACTGTGAAAAAGTTACAGGATGAGAATAACTAATATCCCTCCCACCTTCAATATACCCTAAAATACACTTCATACACTATTGAATACAGGACCAATCTTAACTAAAGGCTGAATGAAACATAGAGACGGATAAATACACACCTGGTCCAACCTGGCTTCCGGGCCAAATATTTTTTAACATCAACCTGCAAAGCAGCCAATTCACCACTTCGAATGGAGCCCAAACTCCAAGAGCTGGCGAAATTTGATGCAGGGAAGCAGTCATCAGCAACTCTTAACCAACACTTGAAACTCATGTCGAATACGAAAGCATGACGAGTGGCCAAAACAACAAGAGGAGAACCAGATTTTGATAGCTTTGCAGATATAACTTTGATAGTGCCTGGAATGAAAAATTAAAATAAAATTAAAAAAAAAAAAAAAAGTCATGGAGCCCAAACATGTGAAAACTTGTCAAATAAACAAAAACCAGTTGTTCTCAGTCTCAGATCAGGAAAAGGTCAAGTCTTATTGTTGGGCTATGAAGCACAGACACCCTAGGATTATGCATGTTGCGTAGGATTAGGCGCGTATCGGTGTCTGACACGTGTTCGTGTCTGACAGTCGTATGACACCCGTACAACAAATGTAGGGAAAACTCAGACAAGTATCCCAAAAAATGGTTTTTTCTTAGCATCAACACTCTTTGAATCGTTATCCAGCATGCGTATGACACATGTCATACATTTCAGACAAGTGTTTCAGAAAAAATTATTTTTTTCTTTGCTTCAACACAACTTATACACATTTTAGACACGCCTAAAAAGAATTAAGTTGTGTCAAGCATGTTGATAAATGAAGGATTTAAGACATTAAATTTGATTAGGTGAAGGGATGCCTCCACTTATAAAGTCACTTTCATGTCACATCACATCTAAAACACCCCTCTGATGTAGGATTGGACATCTGGAGAAAGAGTCAAATGACCCAATAACAGGTGACCCAACACCCATCTGATGTAGGATTGGACATCTGGAGAAAGAGTCAAATGACTCGATAACGGGTGACCCAACACCCATCTGATGTAGGATTGGACATCTGGAGAAAGAGTAAAATGACTCGATAACGGGTGACCCAACACCCATCTGATGTAGGATTGGACATCTGGAGAAAGAGTCAAGTGACCCGATAACGGGTGACCCAATAGATCTTGGATAGACTTTGATACCATGTTTAGAGTTTGGGTTGGGTCTTCTTACTTAACCCTTACAAATCCGGCTTGTAAGGTGAGAGATGCCTCCACTTATAAAGTCATTTCCATACCATATTTCATCCAATGTGGGACTTCTCAACAATAAGCTCAAAGAAAATAATAAAATCCAAGCAGCTATTCTATCAAACATATGTAGGTAAGCTATGGTACCGGTATCTTTAGCAGCTGAACTAGGACTTGAAGCAACAAGAGAAGCCAACGAGTCTTGAAGGAGACAGGTTCGGTTGAACAAATCCCATAAATACACGGACCCTTTTCTTGTCACCAGCAACAATTTCCAACTTTCATCACAGTCTATGAATATTGCTGCAGATCCCATCATCATGGTAGGCATTGCTCGTCTCCCACACTTTGTGTAAATCTTCTCGGCAGCACAAAGAAGTCAAATACATTACAAAGTGTAAGTTCTAAAAGTATAGCCATGCGCATAGGATAGGACTATATATTGTGCCATAGTTATACAAGTGACAAAAAGGATTGAGTCCCGCATCAATGGAGTACAAAAGTATGTCTTAAAATTGAAACTCCTGAGTGTGTGTTTTGAAAGTGAGAGAGATGATTCAGTATATACAAGTGTTTTTTGTAATAAATGGGGTCCAGAATAAAGGATGTGAGGTACCCTATTAAAAGTTTAACAGAAATAAAAGCAGTGAAAACTGAAAAGCAAACCATATGTATACGAAGACTTTTTACCTGGAGACATCCATCCTCACAACCAACCGCAACAAAATTTGCATTTCCGGCTAAAACTGTGACTTTTCCTGATATCCTATCAGACCAAAGTGATTGAGTTCCTCTTGTGCAAGCAATTTCTGTTTCTCTCATCATGGATGCATTTACAGCCCCTACAGTGTCATTCACAGCATGTTCTCTAGGCCGTGCTTCCAAACAAATAGGTAAAGTATCCTCCCCACCTTTCTTGTCAAATATCCTAATGGAAAGAGTGGCATGAGAACCAGTAGTCGTTGAACTTCCGAACTGCTCAACATTGATGACTCCATCTCTTCCAGAAGAACCCAGAACCTTCTCTATCACCAGGCTGTCAGAAATCGTAGCCCTAGCAGTAACTCCTGAACGTTCTTTTATATCTGAATTCCTGCCAAGCGCTCCACCCAAGGTAGTTGCTCTTACACCATCATCAATAGATACAACTCCATTGCTAACCATTTGATGATTAGAAGACACAAGAGGGAAATCAAGTGCTTGAGATTGAACTGCACCAGAAATATTTTCTTGCTGAACAGGTACTCCAACTGCTTCTGGAATAATTCTTTTCCTTCCATCAGGACGTCTATATTCCCTTTGCTTGACAGGGCTAGAAATCCGTGCAGTTGTTGTAATTTTGTTTAACGCGTCACTACTAGGACCTCCACTCTTCTTATTATGATCAACTTGAGGCTCCACATTCTTTGCACCAACGCGTGTATCTACATATGCTTTTGCAATTGTTTGGTTTAGCTGATTCGAAACCACTTTTTTACTTGGTGTATGCTTGGTAGAAGCTGCTTCTAGCAATAACTGGGCTGGAGACTCTGCTAAGTTTGCTTGACGACCTCTCACATCACCATAGCGACTTCTTTTCAACTCATCTAGCTCTGCATCACTGAGTCTCTGGCCTAGTTCTTTTGCATCAAAATGAAATGCAGCAACAGATCCATCCAAGGAACAGGCAAAAAGTGAATATCCATCAGGGCTCCTGTTTTAAGACAAAAATAAATAAGCATTTAAATGAAAATTCAAACTAACTAGCAGAAAAAAAAAAAAACATTCAAACTAGATCTGTATCATGATGCAACTATAGATGAAGAGCATACCATGATAAATCAACAACACTTTGAGTAAAAAAATGCTTGGCGACAAAAAGAGGACGAGGACTTGAAGTAGTCCATACGGTTATAGTTCGATCCTGACTTCCAATGGCAATAACATTGTATGGCTGTGGCTCTTTGCTTCCACCAGTCTTGTTGGCACCATTGGACCACCCAACACGCATAGGCTTCACTTCCTCAGCATTAGACAAATACTTTTTGAACATTGAATGGTTGAACTTGACCACAATAATTGGAGCATTGTGTCCTAAGAAGTCAAATGTTGCAGACCATTCCCCTCTCTCAAGCACAGGGGCAGAATGCCTTGGCTTTTGGAAACCGTGAGTAGTGGTGATAAAATGACCACAAGGAGACCATCCAAGTCGCCTGAAGAAGGTTGATCCAAGCTGAAAGGGGTACGGCTCAATTAGGAAATAGAAATTATATCGGTAATAATTTGAGATAACGGAATGATTGAATGTAATCCCATGTGTCGGTACCAGACACGCCTTCAATGTGAAATTTTTGTGGTAGTGGTATTAGAATTCAGAGTAAGAAACTTACTGATTTGGCCCAGTGACCATCTGTTCTATGAGCAAGACTCCAATCACTAGTTTTCCAGATAATGACGGTCTTATCATCAGATTGACTTGCTATAAAAGATCCAATAGGATCCCAAGCAACACCCTTAACCAGGCTAGAGTGGCCCCTTAGAACAGTAGTGCAAATGCCATTACGCATATTCCATATATGAATAGTGTTGTCCAAACTCCCACTAGCTAATGTCGAATCATCAGGAGACCAATTAAGATCCACCTACTTTACACATGAACAAGCAGATCTCAAGTTAAGGATGCCAATAAAAAATGTGAAACTATCGAATACTCAAGATGATGGTTAAAAGTTAAAACAAAGAGCAATGGAGGACTACTTAACGTGTTATTAATAGCGGATCGCAGAAAATGGTGGAATGCCAAAAATAAGGTACAAGAAATAGCGGATAGCGTAGCGGGAAAATAAATAAGCCGCAAAGCGGTTGAAATTAACAATTATATATAAAATAAAGTATTTTGTACACAAATAAAAGCTACAATAAACAGAAGTTAAGTTAAACAGGGGAAGGGGAATATAATAGAAAGGAAATATTTTGGAAAAAAACTGAGGAATGATGAAAGACAACAATAGAAAACAAAGAGATAAAAAGAGAAAAAAGAAATTGAATTAGGGATAATAGGTTACATAGGTTGTGGGGTTAAGGGGTTATATAAGACCCCATCTCATCATCAACTTAGCCTTGTTTTATTTTTTAATGTTTTTAAAAATATGTCATTGCAGCTCTCATGATATTTTTAATGTTATTAGTAGGGAAAAAGCATAAAAAACAATAATTTCGACTATCCGCTATCCCCAACATGCAAAAAGTCAGAAATAACGTATCGGCTTTCGTCGCGGTTGCTCCAAATCCAGATATGTAACAGTGGTATAGCGGCGCTACACCGGTTATTTAACATGATATATGATAATATAACTTTTTTTATTACACTTAATTATTTTTATACATTTTATATCTTCCATAATTACTTAACGAAAAAAATCCTCCTTTATCCTTCATCTAAATATGCTCTTACTTTCAAAGAAAATATGTATGTTAACTGGAACTAGACAGACATTTTAGAAAGGACAAGATGTTTAAATTGTAAAAGCAATTGAATTAATTACCACATCTGCAGTGTGCCCTCTCAATGTCATTGCAACTTTCCAGTTTTCAATATCCGGTGGCTCTCCACTGCCGAATTCTGTGGTACCCGAGCCAGGCTTCCTCTCATGAATTAATATGACCTGGTCATCTGAGCCAGACGCGACATACCTTCCATGCTTAGCCCACCTTACACAGTTGACAGACCCAAAATGATCCCGCAGGGTTGCAAGAAGCTTCTGAGAAGAATCGTCTTTTGTCTTGTCATTTGAAACACACTTCATATTCCATATCCGAACCTGGATAAAACATATAGTTAAGAAGACAATAATTCCAAATATCATACCTCTCAGTCCCAACTCGCAATCCCCTCTCACCTAACTAACAAAGCATCAAACATCAGACCGAAACTTTTTTCCCATTGAGATCAGGCTCAGCAACAATCAATGTAGCATGCACATGCCGTTGTTGACACGACACCTGATATATATAGTTACATTCAATTATAGCATTTTCACATATTATTACCAGTGTCAATACCGTCTCCCGTGTTTGTGTCGCATCAATGTTGTGCCGTGTGCATGGTGTTCGTGTGGTGCTTCATAGAACACAATACAAACAAAATGGCACAAAACTGCCCCTATTAACATGAACAAATTAAACACAACAAAGAAGTTTCATTACACTCAAGAATGATCATGACACAACCAAAATTCAAATTCTTCACAATAAGGATGAAAAAAATGGCCATACCTTGTGGTCACCACCACCAGTAGCAAACCTAAGCCCACATGGTTGAACATCAATGGAGAAAATCTGCATGCCCTCATGCCTAACCCAGAGAGGTTTCTCAGCAATCATCTTCCAAAAAAATTTCTTTTCCACCCAAAAACAACGTCACTCAATTTTCACTCAGCTAAAAACCTACGAAAAGGGATCAATCCCCAAAAAGCATTATGAAAATCAGAATCATCAAAAAACCAATTGAGACTACTATATAAAAAAATCAAGCAATTACATTGATCAGTTTACATTAAAAAAAATGATTCTAGGTATTTTCTGAGAAAAGGAAATTAAAAGTGAAAAGGACAAAGAAGCAGGTTTTAGGGCTAATAAGCAAAAACCCTACAAAACCATGACGATGTTGATGAAAGAGGAAGAGTAAAATCTCTTCCTCTTAACGGTAAAATCTCAAAAAAAAGCTAAAAGTGAAAACATAAAAGAAAGAAGAAGTTAAGAAAAAATGGAGGTGGAAATGATTGTGAAAAATGGAGTAACTTACCTGTGACTTTTAGCTTCTACAAGTACAATCAGATGTGTCTCTTAGAACTGCAAGACATAATAAGAAAATGGTGAATTTAAAAATGTGCATAATGTATAATGTATTGTACTATGTAATATATAAATAATAATGTGAAAAATGTGAATACTTCAATTGATTTGATTTTAGTTTAAATGTTTTAATTATTTTGTATCGAATATTTTATTTTTTTCACATGAGAAATGATAATACATAATATAATTAATTAATTTTTGTAAAAGGAAATAATCTTTTTGATTTTTAAAGGTGTGAAGTGTTACTACGATCGTGTCCGTCTGTCCGCTTTTGTAATGTTCAAACATTTAAAAATATGAACGTATTTTTTATGTGTTTATTTTTTTTAATTTAAATTTTATATAAAAAAATTGAATGAAATAGTTGTGTAAATTACTATATAACAGTTAATAAAAAAGAAGTTAGTAAAGGAGAAGTTGAATTTTAAAATAAAAAACAAAAGAGTATTTTTCGAATAAAAATAGGCTACACCAAAACAAAGTATTCCCTTTATATATTGTATAGATGTATAGATATACTAGCGTTCACACGGGTTTGTTCCCGTTGTCCGCTTTTTTATTATGATTATGCGTTAAAATATAAATCAGTATTTTTTTAGAAAAACTTTGTGATATGTACTCATGTGCCTAAGCAGTATTTTTTAATTTAATTTAATTTTAAATATTCATGTGACTCATACCTATTTTTCATATATGTTTTATTGTAAAATTACTTATGCACAATTATTAGAATTTAAATTAAGTTGACGTATGTTCTCTCTAAAAAAACATATAATGTTTTCTTAATTAAATGTCTCTTTATTTACCGTTATATTATAGTTAAAGATATAACTTGAAGTTTTTTTCTAACTATATAGTGTTTATAAAAGGTAAGATTAAAATAAAATAGTTCATATCAATTACGTAGTTATATAGATTATATAAATGAAATACCATTTTAGCATAATTCATACATGATATGAGAAGGGAAGTACTTACATCCATATTTTTGTTGCATAAACACTAAACATATATAGAATGTGGGGTCTTTTTGTCCCTTTGTTCTATTCAATTCTTCTTTATTCAGTTATTTTTTTCTCGCAATAATTTAGTCATTAAAATTAGTTTTGTTTGTACAACTCACATTACACTATTCAATTCTTTTTTATTTAGTTATTTTTTTTCCCGCAATAATTCGGTCATTAAAATTAGTTTTGTTTGTACAACTCACATTACACAACATATAACTATATATGAAACAACCATTTAAATTATATATGAAACAATTATTTAAGATATTGTATTTGTTGTTGTGAGATGTTGGATCGAACTCTAGTATGGTCGAAGTCTGTTCGCGAGTAATGCATGTTGTAGTCAAAGTTTGTTTTAACATGCATTAGTAAATATTGATAGGATTGTTAGCATGTTGAATTGGGTCTTGCTTGTAAGCCCAATTGTTTAAGTTAGCTTGTAATGGGTAATTGTTAAAAAGCCCATTAGGTTAGTGTGCTATTTTATTGTAAATAGGATGTTAGTTTCTCAATCTTGGTATAAGGAAAAATAGGAAGATTGATGAATATAAAAGTGACAAACACAATTGATGATACCACACTCTTATTATTTGCAACAAAATACTCTTATTATTTGCAAAAGAACAAAAATAAAATAGCAAAAAATAAAGGAAATGGTAGAGAAAGAGTTATAAAGAGAAAAAACAATAATTCAAAATCAAATATTATAATGAAATAAAGGAAAAGAAAAATAAGTAGGAATATAGGGGAAGGTGGAAGAACATGTGTTATCATTTTGTGTGAGAAAACATAACTAATATTCTTTATCTACATGAATGTAGCAAATAAGTAAATGAACTCAACAGTCTCAATAACAACAATACAAATTGGAAGCAAATTGATCAATAATCAAACAAAAACAAAACTTGCACGCAACAAAAATAATAGGTTAAAAGTTATAAAATTAAAAGATAAATTTAAAATTTAATTGAATAAATTTGTTTCAACATCAAAACAATCAATTAAAAAACCTGAAATCAAAAGAGATAAAGTGATGAGAGAGAGAAAAAAAAAATTATTCATTGAATCTTTGTTTTGCTTTATGAAGTTTATATTCTTATGAAGTTATATTTTTCTCTCTTCCTTATAATTTTCATATAGTTATTGCATGTCTCTAGTATCTCTTTTACAATAATCTTTAGGCGGTTATTGTATGTGAAAGTTATTTAAATTAAAGCTTTGAATTGTTAAATATGAAGTAAGTGAATGATAATTAAGGAATATAAAATAGGTTATACCAAAATTATGCATTTCCTTTATATATATAAGTATAGATGTATTGAAATTATAAAAATAAAAATATTTATGGTGGTGTGTAATTTTATTTTATTTTTACTACGTTGAGCAATAGAAAAACTCGTTCATAAATTAATTAATTATTAAAAATTACATTTAAAAGTCAAAATAAATATTTGCAAATGTGTTCGCAAATTTGAACTTAACATAGTTGACTCAATCAATATAAAATTAATTTTATGAATTCATGAAATAAATCTAATACTTTAAAATTATATGCAAAATGAAAAACCTTTTTTATGATTATTTATTTTCTCTTTTATATGAAAAATTAAGATTTATATTATATTTTGAAACTTAAATATTAATATTAATTATATATTATAAATGAATAAATATTATAAAGTAAAATTGGTTAAAAATTATGCATGTGTTTATTCATTAGTAGAACAAATAAGACAGAAAATAAATAATAGAGTGTTAACGAGTTCACCCTTATTGCATCTTTAAGAGTTGTATAGATATGGAACAAGGCAAAAGGTGAAAAATAGTGATAAATATAGAACTCGATAGCACTACTTTATTGATATTGTGTTTGATTTTAAAATTGATTAGAAAAGAGTCCATGGACAAATATCTTAAGAATGTGCAAGAATATTAACAACTATGATAGTGTTTGTGTTTTTTGTCATGTTAAAACTTGCAGTACTGTCTTTTCGAATGTTTGTTTGCTTTGATTGTTTGGGATAGAGTGGGAGATTGGTGTGGTTATACCCGTGCTTATATAGGGAGTTATTGAAACTTTTTGTGGAGTGGTGTGACTTGGGTACCAACCGAGAAGATGATTTAAAATTTGAATATGTTTGATCGACATTTGTTGAATGCTTTTGGAGGGTCAGAAATAATATTATTTTCAACAACGATGTTTATAATATCAATGATGTTTGCTGTTTGCTGGACCATTAAATGTTTTGCTTGAAAATAGTCGTGTTTAGATGAAATTTCTTACTCCAACTTTGATTTTTTGACTTTTTGTATGGATCTCTTAAAATTCTTAAAGTATAACATCTTAAACAGTGAGATTAGGAAGGGCATAATGTAGAAGATCGAAGTAGGGACGAGTCATAGTCAACTCAGACACAAAGAGAGTGTTTGAGAAGAATATTGAGTGAGAATAGAGAGTTCGAAAGTTCTAATAAGAAAGAGAAATCAAGTGATCGAGAAACTTTGTGGAATGACTTAGAGAAACAGATGTGAAGAGAGAGAGACCTGGAAAATGAAAATTGTGGAAAGAGAGAAGAGATAATTTGAAATTGTAATGGAAACTAATTAGAGTGTGACAAGTGTAATGTAAAGAGATGTATGTGAGTGTTTTAATTGAGAAGTTTGTTCATTACTAATTTATCCAAGTTGTAGTGTAAATAAAAATTAGGGAAAGGGTAAATATGTAAGAGTATGCAATAATATTTTGAAGGATTGATAGTAGATTTGTGTTGGTTGAAAATTTTAATTGGTAATCTCTTGTTGTTGTAATGGATTGAATACCCTTATATTCATTAATTCTTTTAGAAAGAAAAAAAAAAAGAATGTGCAAAACTATGATTAAGTGAATTTTTTCTAAAAAAATATTTTTCTCCATAATATAAAGATATTAATTTTTATTTTATTTATGAGATAAAAAAAGTCTAAAATATTTTTATCTAAAAGTGTTCAAAATATAAAACTGAATTTTAAATACAAATTAATTGTAAATCAATTTATAAATATAAATTAATTTTAAAATGAAATGAAATCATTTTAAAGATTAAATCTTATCTTTAATGAAGTGATTATTAAAAACTAAATTAAATCGTTAATGTCATTTGGCTTAATAGGGTTAACACCCTTAAATTATCCATATTTTTGTCCTTTGTTAAATCTTAGGATAACTTTTTCTCACATGTACAAGTTATCTAAAATACAAAAATAACATTTCATTTTTCACCAAAAAATATTCTTTCTTCTCATACATCCTCCCTCTCTTTTCTTTCTTTCTTATCCTTCATTTTTTCTTTATATTTCTTTTTCCCTTCACTTTCTCTATATATATGTTTTGTTTTTAACTCTCTTTCTTATATTAATATTTATATTTTTAAATAATATCGTAGTAAGTTTGACTCGATTTTATTTGTGATATCCATTAAACACTACAATATCATGTTGAATAAAAAAAATTATCTAATATCTTAAAGCTTTGTTTGA